TAAGTATTTTTATAAATTTTTGCCTCATACACGGAAAATATGCTGTTTCTAAAATTTGAACTGTATTTTCTTTTTCGTTGTGTGAACTATTATGTGATTTTATTATGATTTCTTGCTACTCCTGCTCGTTCGTTGTGTCTTCTACTACAATTTGGCTAAAACGTACTTTGTAATTCGAATAATGTAATGAGTAAATGCTTTGGATTTTATGCATAAATCCATTGTTTTTATGCAATTCATAACCGAAGGGTTTAGATATCGCTTAAGTAATTGTTTTAAATGTTCAATTGAGAATTATTAAACCCTGAACCCATTAAAAATGGGTAATCAGGGTATATTGTATTTGTGCAAGTGTATGTCACAGGCAGAAGGAAGCATCTCCGACCCCATAAAGTATTTATATTCTTGATAGGCATCAACAGCCGAGTCAACACTTATTTACAATTCGGTCGGCTCTCGAATAAATAGAAAAAACAAAGCGAATTCGGTTTTGCTCTCCATCGAACACTTTATTTCCTAGCAAATGTGTAGTCTGCTTGTACATTTGCTTGAGCATTTCCGTTGCTATGTCAGACAGTAAGATCTTAACAGGACACATTCGGTCGGTCGGTCGCTCAGAAATGTGTTTTATTTTAAGAGCAAAACGAACAATGTGGAAGCGAAAAGTGTCTTTTCTTGTTGTTGTCGTGTGACGATATAAATGAAAGCTAGAGCGAGAGAGAGTAAGAGAGAGAAAAAGAGGGCATGACACAATACAGTTATGCATGTAGGCAAGCTATTTTATATAGGTGTATATGCGTATATTCAAAGCTATAAAAAACACATAAACATTATATATTTTATACCCTGAACACCATGAAAATAGATAAAAAGGGTATAATGTATTTGTGCAAATGTATGTAACAGGCAGAAGAGGCCATCTCCGACCCCATAAAGTATATACATTCTTGATCAGCATCACCAGCCGTGTCGATCTAGCCATTTCCATCTGTCTGTCCATCCGTCTTGCTGTCCGTTTGTCCGTATGTATGAACGAAAGGATCTCAAAACTTATAAGAGCTAGAGACTTGAAATATTAGCTGTAGCTCTTCCTAGTGGCCGCGCAGATCGAGTTTGTTTCCGATATTTGATAACTTTCCGCGTTTCCAAGTAATCGATAAAAATCAATATCGAAATCCTGTTTTTTGAGTAATTTTGTTTTATGTCTTTCATTTTATAGCTTTTACCACCTCTCCGCTACTACCTCATAGATATTAATCAAATAAATAAACTAATTTGTATTGCCCACCAATATCAGCCACAATTTAAATGCAGTTGACATTTTGAGAATATTTTATAGCTTAATAAGATATAGTGTATAAAATGTCATCAAGATCGGTTTAGAAACACAGAAGTTATTAAAGAAAACATGTTTTGCTAGACTGCTATTTGAGGTCTATTTTGGTAATTAATTTGACGCGTTTGTACGGAACAATCTCCCTCCATCGGAGTGGATGGGATTTCACGCCTTTGCGGTAATAAGGGTGGGAATTGTTGTTGCTGTTGTACAAATCTAGGCTGACCCTAACCAAAATGTGATAATTCTGGGAAAAGGTTTTGGTTACGTACTGGTCTTTGAGGTATTTGTCTGCGTCTCCAGCTTGGTGTTGCTGCATTTGTTGAAATGCCTCAATTCTGCATTCCGAAGGGGTTCGCATTTCTTGGGAACCAACGAACTTTATTGGTTCCGCTGATTCCTCAATTATCGGCATGTGCAATAATTATGCAAAATTTGCGATCCCACGGTTGGCTGTCCAACGAGCGCGTTGACCACTTATGCACCTCAAGTTACATACGCGACACTTTGCTTCAGCTTTTCCAGCACATTGAATGGCCACGAGCGGGAACCAAATGAGGGAAAGCTGATTATCAAAATGTTGTTATTTGGATAACTTAGGTATTAACTCCTCCCTCTCTGATGTCGAACGTCCCGGTCGATTGTTAGAAACCAGGTAGATCGTGGATGCTTCTATTTTCTTTTATGTGGTTTTCCGGGGGAGTTTCTGTTACGTCAACCTACTCTGGGCGGTGTTCGTTGCTGGTGGGAGTGGCTGTAACTTTAATAACAGTGGTTTGCCTGCTCAGCTTGAGTTTTAGTGCATAGGCAACGAAGACCAATATAATTCCAGAAGTTATTCCGAAATTAGTGATGGTGTTTGTTTTGAAATTTTCTCGTAGCATGCCTATCTTCTCAGTGTTCTTGGTATGGAGATCTCTCATTAGCTGCAGTAACAACACCTCTTCTATCGCCGTTATTGGCCTTTCCAGTTGGCTCATGGCTGGTAGTAGTTTAAAGTTGGAGGTTTCATATGTATTTCCTTTTCCTAATGTACAGTTGTTAAATTTAATTACAAGGGACCCTTTAATTATTTTTAGTTCGTTATCGATACGAATGTTACCATTAAAATCGTTAAGAAGAATAATGCCTGTGTCTATTGATTCTATTGTTGTACCCAGAACCCATTGTTTGAAGGGCAAATAGGGTATAATGTATTTGTGCGAATGTATGTAACAGGCAGAAGGAAGCATCTCCGACCCCATAAAGTATATATATTCTCGATCAGCATCAAAAGCCTAGTCGATCTAGCTATGTCCGTCATAATTGAAAATAGCTGTAGGTCCTCCTAGTCCATACGCAGATCGAGTTTGCTTCCGATATTCGATAAATTGCCCTGTTTCCAAGTAATCGATAAAAATCGATATAGAAATCCTGTTTTTTAAGCGATTTTGGTAAATAATTAAAGCTAGATTCACCAAATACCAACTGCCCATCAATATAAACCTCAATTTAAATGCAATTGTCATTTTGAGAATACACGAATATTTTTTAGTACAATAAGATGTACAGCTAAAAATTTCATCAAGATCGGTTAAGAAACACAAAAGGAAATGTTTGCGGCAGCTAGCGCAAATTGCAAGAATTTTTATATACATGTACACACACACATTCATGCGCGTCTGCTTTGAATTCTACCAACAACATTGCAATTGGTATTGTATTGTTTTCTGTGCTGCTATTTTAATTTTTTTTTTTGTGTGGCTGTTGGGTAGAGGCGGTGGCAAGTAGTGCGATGAGTTGCAAGTTCGAACCCTGCCAAGAAAACGTTTTTTATACCCTGAACCCATTGAAAATGGGTAAACAGGGTATAATGTATTTGTGAATATGTATGTAACAGGCAGAAGGAATCATCTCAGACCCCATAAAGTGTATACATTCTTGATCAGCATCACAAGCCGGGTCGATCTAGCCATTTCCGTCTGTCTGTCCATCCGTCTGTCCGTTTGTCCGTATGTATGAACGCAAGGATCTCAAACCAATAAGAGATAGAAACTTGATATTTAAGCTGTAGGTCCTCTTAGTGCCCGCGCAGATCGAAGTTGTTTCCGATATTTGATAACTTTCCGCATATTCAAGTAATCGATAAAAATCGATATTGAAATCCTATTTTTGAGCAATTTAGGTAAAAAACAAGTAACCCTGAACCGTCTTCTTTCAACACCAATGCAGATCGCGCTACGGAATCGTTTGCTTTAGTTGTAATAAAGAAAAATGAAAATAAAAAAAATATGTTCCCTTGGCAGGGTTCAAACTCGTAACTAACCGCACCACTTGCCGCCGACTCTACTCAAGAGCCACACAATTAATTGAGTTTTAACAAGAAAAAAACAATACAATCGCAACTGCAACGCTACAGAAATTATTGAAATTTGCGCTACCCGATGCTAACACGTGCGTACATAACTTCTGTGTTTCTTAACCGATCTGAATGAAATTTTCGACATTAAATCTTTTTGTAGAATAGAATATAGAATATTTGTGTATCCAAAAATACAATTGCATATAAATTGTGGCTTAAATTGATGGGCAATACAAGTTGGATAATTAACTTGATTTATAGCTGTGTGGTGGTAGTGGGGAGGGGGCGATAGGTATAAAATGAAAGATACTTGATATATATATACTATTCTAGAAGCTACATGCCAAGTTTGGTGACTCTAGCTTATATTATTTACCAAAATTGATCTAAAAACAGGATTTCGATATCGATTTGCGCGGGCACTAGGAGGACCTAAAATTTCAAGTCTCTAGCTCTTATAGGTTCTTATATCCTTGCGTTTATACATACGGACGGACGGACGGACGGACGGACGGACGGACGGACAGACAGACGGACATGGCTAGATCGACTCGGCTGTTGATGCTGATCAAGAATATATATACTTTATGGGGTCGGAGATGCTTCCTTCTGCCTGTTACATACATTTGCACAAAAACATTATACCCTCTTTACCCATTTTCAATGGGTTCAGGGTATAATAAGAGCTTAAGTCACCATACTTGACATGTAGCTTCTAGAATAGTATATGTATATATATATCTTTCATTTTATAGCTATCAGCACCTCTCCGCTACTACCTCATAGATATCAATCAACTAAATAAACCAATTTATACTTCCACCCAATATAAGCCACAATTTAAATGCAATTGTCAATTTGAGAATACATGAATATTATATAGCTTAATAAGATCTACTCTAGAAAATTTCATCAAGATCGATTTAGAAACACAGAAGTTATCAAAGAAAACATGTTTAGGCTGCCTGATTCGGTCGAATATGAAATAAATACAAACTGCCATTAAAAAAAATATGCAAGAATTCATCCAGATAGCCTTAAAACGAAGATAATAATAACCATAGAAACAGACAGAGACACGAATATTGCTAAGTCGAATCGGATATTTTTAGAAATTTAATTATATTTCTTTGCGTTAAATTAATATTTATAACCTTTGTAAGAATATAAAATAAATTGAAGCATATGAAAGCACATGGCTACACAGCAATTTTTGTTTTTCATAAACTAAGAATAACTATATAGCTATCGAAAACTTTAAGAACTGTTTATCTAAGTGAAATACAATGCAATATATGTAAACAAAGATTTATATAAACTTACCAAACTTCAATAATTAGAATTTCCTCATGAGGACCTTCAATAATTGGCCTATAAAAATGTAATTAAAAAAAAAAGGTTTAAATACAAATTAATAAAAGTATAGTCTAAATATGTTTAGAAAAAACAGGTCGTTTCGACATATAGCATAATGAGGGTGGTTAATATATTTTCATATTTATGTTAGAAAATTGTTATCCAACAAGGAGTTTTGTGGTTCGATATTAATATTCTTGAACATATTTTGCTTTTCATTTACTTTACTAAATCGAACATCATTTAAAATTGTTTTAAATATAACTAAAATAAACTTACAATGAAAAGTGTTCCTCCCATGTAGGATTCAATGTAGACATTTTTACGGATGAATTATAACGGTGCGAATTGTTTGATTCCAAGTATAATGTTACAAACGGATCTGATAATCCATTTGAATCCTTTGAAAGTAAATTTTCTGCTTTTATGACTTCAACATTAAGTCTTAGGTTAGGTGGTTCCTTCATCTTGGCAATTTCAGAAATTTCCAAATGAGTTGAGTTAGGTATTTTGAAAACGTCCTTTGCAAACTCCACCAGGCCATCTGTACAAACATCACTAGTCTCACAACCAATGTTGTTGTAAATTTCAAACAGAACCTCTTCGTACAAGTCCTCAATCTATGAAAAGTAAGCTGTGTATAACATAAACGTGCTTTCTTAATTTTCATAATTATGTAACCTATATGAACTAATATTTACTAAAGGAACTATGTACTATTTTAAACGAGTTTGAATTCGAAAATGATAAGCAACAAAAATTGAATAGATCCATTTTCAACAAGTTTTTCACAGGGCGGATAATATTTCTTACAACTCCGTCTTAGTGTGCATTTATATCTCATAAGAAATCTACAGCAAAAAATTATGAATTTAAGCTCTTACGGTTTTAGTTGAGCATCAATCAGTAAAGACCAACAGTTTTAAATTTGGATTCTGCGAAAAATTCGAAACAAGTCTCAAAAGATTTTTCATAAAGATCCTTGGAAATAATTTTCAACCCGGAAAACGGATTTTCCGAAATGTGTGACACAGCCCTCAAATAAATATGAACAAAGAACTTTATAAAATAAGTTTGAATCCAATCGGTCTCAACTTAAACTATCCCCCATATAACCATTAACTTCCATATCCCACCCAGAATTTTGTGAAAAGTTTTCAATTTGGACAAATTGCTTAAAAATAAGTTTTTAGCCGATAGAATGGTAAGCAAAATGGTTTTTTGCAACCGCTCCCCCAAATTTCCCACAGTTGCGGAGAAAAAAAACGGACTTAGTATGCTTTTGCAAAACAACGGATAACTTTAGTAAAAAACTCAGCTTGAATATTTTTAAAACCAGACTGTATGTTTTCATCCATATGTATGTTACATGCAAAAGGAAGCATTTCCCACCCCATAAAGTACATACATTCTTGATCAGCATGTGAAGCAAAGTCGATCTAGCCATGTCCGTCAGCCAGTTCGTGCGTCCACCCGTTCATATAAGAGCTAGTGACTTAAAATTTTGAACGTAAGTCCTCCTATTGCGCAAGCTGTACAAGTTTGATCCGATGATCGATAACTTACTCCGTTTCAAAGCGATCTCAAACCGATAAGGAAATCCTGTTTTTAAGCAAATCTCTTAGGTTACCAGAAAAAAGTCACAACATCTCATATGCACATAAAATAAATAAATTAATCAATCAAACTACGCACCTATTTAAGCTACAATTTTTGCGAATATGTGAATTTCTACAGTACAATAAGATCTATATCTGAAATTTTCATCAAGATCGGTTAAGAAACATATAAGCTCCCAGCGGACCAACACGCGAGCCTTTACCGAGGATCTCGCAAAATGCTCACAAATGAGCTCGTATGTGACCACTCGCACACGAGCGTTGCAGTGGGATCGTTGCGATAAAAATGCGTGTACAGGAGAGAGAATAGTGTTGCTTTTGTTTCAAATATTACTCGTGGTCGGAGTGCAACATGGTCAAGAGAGAGAGAGTAAAAATGACTCGGCATTTGGATGCAGTGTTTTTTTGTTGGTGTTTCCTACTCAGCCCGTAAAATATGTGTTTTTTGGGGATTGAATTTTTCAATTTTTATAACTAAACTATTCCCTATTGCCCCGAAAGTGCTGAAAATACGAAATTAATGAAATTGAGGACGAAGTCCAAAGCAACGATCCTCTAGACGCACTAAAGTGTCTTCCAGAGCTCCTCGGCACATAGAAAACGTATGTAGCGTAGCGCCAAGCGGAACATGTTGCGAACAGAATTTTCGAAAGATACTATGGCAGCTTAAGCCACTACCAAGTGATCATTAAAATAAGGAGCAAGATCAGGAGTCCAGCCGACGTTGCTCTGACCTCCTTGAATACAGTTTTAAGCATTGAGGCCATCATTACCCACGTAGATTTTAGCTACACTGATAAGCGCCCCATCTATGGCATAGTACAGTTAATGGATACACTCAGACAGGGTAATGTAACCATCTTGCTGTATTACGATAAGGTGGAATAGAAATTGGCCTTGGTAACCAGTAGGGCGAACATGTCCTATGATAAGACCATGGCAAGTGGCCTTTGCGAGAAGGCCTACGGGTATTCATATCTGGTTTGAAAAGTAACCTGACAGACATATCTGTCACCTGATTTGCTGTCAGCCTTAGCGAATGCTGGGGAAATTCAGGCTAATCACGCCAGTTTCTTCATTTACACGGGGGCCAACGTCAGTCCGATCAGCTACAGCCAAACCCAGTAACAAGGGCCAGCCTGAGCCAATGGATATAGACCTATCTACAACAACTTATTACCAAAAGCCTTCCGGATCGAGTAAGCTTAACGCGAATCCCATGGCCGGATAAGGAGGCAAAAAGTAGACCACCACCAACCCTGGTTGAAGCGAGGAGGCGTATAACAAGTTTGTCGCCGACGCATGAACTAAGCTCGGAAGGTCCTGCTGCCATTAATATGCCACAGAGTAGCAAGAACAAACATAACATTTTTATCGATACGGGCGCGTCCAAGAATTATATCAAGCCTCCCAAGTGGCTAATAGACGTAATCCGGGTACCTTTTTCAAATCGCCAAGACTAGTTATGTTTTTGCGATGATGTCATCGAGTTCTCGAAAAACGAGGCGGACAATGTAAAACCCGTTAAATCAAACAAATGTTAAATCAAACCCCAGCCTTTTGACCTGACTACCGATGCTTTGGATCACAGTATTGGGAGAGTCCTTTCTTGAAATCAGCGACCAGTAACAATAATTTCCAGAACTTAGGAATACAGGGAAATCAACTACGTAATTCAATTTCATTAACGAGTCCCAACGCAAGTGTTTGGCACTGGCTCGTTTTGGCTGTTTTTGACGAACACATCGAGACGAAAGACAAGCTTGGGAAAGGCCTTAGGAATAAGATTGTCCTTGAGGACGCGTGCTTCCCATTGAAAAGAAGATAGATTTTGTTCGAAAAAACCAAACGCAGTAAAACGTGAGACAGGTTATGTCTGACTATTACTTTCAGAACATGACCAAAATCTCGAGTAAGGAGGCCCTTAACTGCAAAACTCACAAGCAAAGTACGAAAGGCCCCCAAAGAAGCAAGATCTTGGCCACACGCCAATCCCTTGTCGCCCGGAGTAATGTTACACATTAACGTTTTTTTAATCGATAAGAAATTTTTTTGACGTCCGTTGAAAACTTCTCTTAATTCGCAATAAAGGAACCCATAGCTTCCCGTACCATTGAGGACATGAAGGCGCCACTTATGGTACTGATGAACTCCTTTCCGTATGCTAAGCATGTGTGACAATGGTCCCGCATTTAACTCCGAGACCATTAGGGCTTTACTTTTTAATAAGTTTGGGGTCAGCATTACCAATGCCGCCCTTTCCAAAGCAAACCGAACGGCCAAGTTGAGCGGTTTCATAGCCTTCTTTTAGAAATTTTTTAAAGTTGCATCAAGCTTCAGATGGAGTCCGAGCAAACGACCAATTTTAGCCTCCAGGCTACGACGGAGTACAATAAATCGGTGCACTCCGTCACAAATAGAAAACCGGACGACGTTCTCCACGCCCCGACCCCTAGTACAAAGCAAAAAGTAGTTGGCAATAACCATAAGGCTCAAACAGCAAATAATTAAATGGTAGAGAGATAATAATAGATGAATAAGTACTACTTAACATATACTGCGAACCAACTACATACTGATAACGGTCGCGAAAATAAAAATGGCAGGCATTCGCAATTTCAGATGCAGTTAGACTACAAGACCTTTTAACCGCAATAAACATGCACCATAGAACGGCAAAAAGTCTAGATTTCTACACAGACGCAATTGGCCGAGGCATACAATAGGCAAGTGATAATAGGCAAGATAGCTCAAACAAAGATAAATCAATTAACATAAACCGTTAACAACTTACAAGCCTACGCTTAAAAAGAGAGGTTGACACAGCTCACCTGTTAGAGCCTGTTAGCGAGAAACTGAATACTCATTACGGAGTTAAGTAACTTAATGCTCACTATGCTTTAGAAATTGAATATTATAAGCCCCTTCAAAAATGACCTCGCCGATCTACAAACCATTTTTGCTGACCATCTCACAGATACGAACGTCACTAGACTTTTAGGTACATCTTCTTTAAAGATTTTGCAATCAAATAATGTATTCCATTTCATCATAGAGTATTCTAGAGTTAAGATTCGATGCAAAAAGGTTGCAATTTTCAGACAAGCAGCGAACCACTCGTGCCGTTCGCATTCTGATAGCATGGCACATTCCCAAAGATAACCGAACCATCTCCGTCCGTTTGCCTTGGTAACCGATGGTATCATCAACAAAAGACCGGCCATTGTCACCTATGACGGAGGCATCGAAACCAAAGTAGCAGGGACGAGCTTCGCCACATTCGATCGCTACGCCCTGGTGACCGAATCAAAATTCGTCAGCAGCGACCAAACCCGGTTCCCTGGTGTCACAACATCCCCGCTGCTGAACATTAGCCGCCACAACGCGGTAGTCAGCCTCCCATATAAGCACCATCTAAAAAATATAAAGAGCGAGTTTTCCGGTGACTCAAAAACTTGGGCAGCATTTGGCTTGGGGCTGGAGCTTTGCGCTAGGGTTTGAGGTTTCATATTCCTAACGCATTATATCAGAAAGTGACAAAACATCCACAAAATAAAGGAATCCAGGTATAATCGTGGACGGTCGCACTTTATAAGGGGAGTCGTTAACCACTTACTGCCACAATATGCGCACTGGCCAGCGGCGCGCCTAGTGGTCAGCGACAGCGTCAGCGACTGCAGTGCTTTGAGACAGGAATTCTTAGGCTTAGCTTTAGCAGCATTTTTTGGGCGATAGCGACTGCAGTGCTTTGCAGCAGGAATTTGGAAACAATCGCGGCCGCCTGCCCAATAATAAGCAATTAAATTCAAGTCACTTGTTTCGTGACGATCGGCCATCTAACATAACATTTCACAAATTATAATACAAATTATCTAATTTACATAAATTTGAATAACGGAGAAAGAAAGCACACGAAGTTGTGTTTCTACTCACCAGACCCTAGGCACGAGCAAAAACACTTTCGTTTCGTTTTTTCGCACATGTTTTTCCTCGAACACTGA